TCAATAACAAATAATATTAAAAAATTGATTCATAAATAATACAATTTTGAAAAGTCATTTGAAAATCCATAAAATTTTTACATTAGTATGTGTATTTTAATCATAGAAAAGAAATTTCAATTCGCTTCTGCAAAACCGTTCCCAGCAAACACAGATATAAATGACATAAGCTGCATAATCATAGTCATATAAGGCTGCTGAACTATAATGAACGTCTTATGTAAATTGAGATGGCAATTTTATGTTGGATATACATTGGTCGAGCGGCTTTATGGTTATGCAGCACACTTTATCCTAGAAATATTTTTGCGAACGTTCTCAGAACATTGGGACATCCTCAGGGACGTGTTCAGTTTTCCACCCGCGAGTGTTTTCCGGGTGTCATATTATCCTTATTTAACTTTCAATAAGGATAGATAGTGATACTCTGGTAGGAATCTGAACATAAGCCAGATTATTCGATCTTTAGAATTTTTCTTGGACATTTATTGTGCTATATGAGAAGATTCCACAATTTTATTTATGGTTTGAAATTCTTATTTTTTATTCCTTGTTCCCTATTTCTTTCATTATATGTAGCTTCTGACGTACTCCTTCCTGCATTTTGTGACATCATTCCCTTCCTCCATGTCACTAGATTCTTCCGCACCTCGAAATTCCATGGATTAGAATCAATTTAGCTTACCTACCATCCGACAAATGCCAAACTCCGGAAATGCATGGAAATTAAGAAATTGCTAAGAAATTGCGATAATACATATATACAAATGCGACTTAATGTTAATAATGTTTTCCAATTTTTATTTTGTCATATACAATTAACATATTTAACGTATTGTATATTTGGAAACATTTCTCAATCTTATTCGTAATGTATAATCATTCTGAAATGGCTTCCTTACATGACTTATATAAAATAAGCCAAAATTGTTCCCATAATTATCCAAATGAAGAATATCCATTGAAAGAAATATCTTTTAGAAAAATGAAATCTGAAAGAAAAGAAATTGTGAAAACTATTTTATTAAAGCTATTTAATTAATCTTAAGTCTACGTCCCCCTCTGCGTAGGAGTGTAACGACTTTTCATGCGGGTGAATCATTTTTAAGTCAAATATGAAAAAAATACATTTTTTTGTTGTTGATCTCGTTGACAATTTTCATTATCATATTTATAATCAGCACACCAAAATACATTGGTAAATCAATCAACAAAATCATCCTTTTGGAACTCTATTAATTATAATTTGTAATGTACAATGTATAAATTTATATAACATTTTAAATAATACTCTATAACTCATTATGTACGTATAATAAATAGTTTATAAACGCAAGTTTATAAAATATTGAATTTCTTCTTAATGTTATTTTTTTTCTTTGATCATTAACTTTTTTTATTACAGTTAAAAAATATTTGTAAAATAAAAAATTTGTCTTACCGCAGAACTATCGTAATCGTAACCACACTTAGCTAATTCATATGCTAATTCACATCCTTTAAATTTTTTTACTGTAAAAATAGACAAATAGAAAATATATACAAACAAATTATATATTATAAAATTTGTAATGATTATTTTTATTATAGAATTATTTTTAATTTAATTTAGATGTTTTATTTAAAAAATTGTATATATCAATTTTGCTTACCAATTGATAGACAATGTTCCATTGCTTTCATAGCAGGTGGTATATATTCTTCCAATAACATGGTTTCTATGATATTTTTTAAAGCTTTTTCTACTATCTTGTCATCCTTCATCTAGAAAAAGAGAAAGATAAATATATTTGTAATATTGTAAATGAATCTGAAAAATTAGGCAAACAATCCCTTTATTTAAAAAAAGAACAGCTAAATGCTTATATTGCGTAAATTACTTTTTGTATGCAAATTATTTTATCAATATCAATCTTGTTTGCGGAATATAAATAAATTCGAATTGATGATTATTTCTCATTATAGTTGCCTATATAGAAGATCACATTGTGGCGGACAATCGAGACAACTATAAATAGTCCGTAATAGTAAAAGCAGTTTGCATTGCAAATACAACTTGTTTCTACTTTTTCTATTTATGTAATTTAAATGATTTTAAAAATATCTATGTTTAAAAAACATTTATAGAAAATTCTTGTAAATTTTACTTACAATTTTTGTATTTAGCAGTACACACTTAAAGTAACATTGAAATTTCCAATCGGATGCGAAAATACCTTTGGCTGCATCATCGATCATCTCTAAGTACAATATTATAATCTTAAATATATTTTTTATTTCTATTATACTTTTTCAAAATTACTTTTAATCTATATAAAGTATATATAGATTAAAAGTAATTTTAAAAAAGTAATATAATAAAAAATATTTAAGACGAGATTACTTCTGTGAGTAGGTAGAGCGGACTGAAGTGAGTCAAAAAGTCCTTTACCATTTTGCAATTTTTGCAATGCTTTAGGAGATATTAATTTTTAAAAATCATTGAATAAGTATGTATTCGCGGGGACTTTACTATCAAGTAACCGCCCATCGGTCGCGGTGCGGACTTGTTAGGGACTGCTTTGTAGGCAATCACTAAGCATCATAACTCAAGCAGCGCACTTATCAAGCAAACAAGCGACCGTGACTGATGGTATATATAACTTGGCGATAGTCTGCGGGGACGAGCTTATTCAATGCTATTTGAAAACTAATATCTTCTAAAGTATTGCGAAAATTGCAAAATAAAGGACTACTAAAGGACTTTTCGACTCAATTCAGTCCGTTTTACACATGTTCACGAGAGGCGATCCTCATAGGTTGGGGATCATAATATTAGGTGTAGTAAAAAGAAATCTTTTTACATGAAAATTGAATGGAAAAATAATGGATTTCTTTTTACTACACCTAATATACATCCTGTATATTATGAAACGTCTCCCACGCGTGCGCGCGTGTATTTATATCGAAATTTGCTTAAAGCCAATGATTTAATTTAAATATACATTTAAAAATTTTTTTAATTTAAAATTCAATGAAAACAGTTTAAATTTTCATAAATAATAAAATTAATTGATTTCTTAATCAAATCTAAAGATTTAGTTAAATTTAAAAAATTTACATTTTGATTTAATGTATTGTAATAACATAATACAAAAAATATATAATAATATAATAAATTAATTTATATATAATAAATTAACATAATTTTAGGTATTTGATTTATTATATGTAGCCTAGTACCAGTCCAAATATTAAATACATTATTTATTATTAAACTATCTAAATTTTAAAGGATATTGTTATATACTTATATTGTCTAAATATAATTATATAATATTTGAAGATTTTGATATTTAGTCACATTACATAAAAATTTGTAATACATTACATAAAACTGCAGTTTTTTATAGAACATACTTGGATCCGTGCCCACTTTATCAATGCAATACTTCTGTAATGGTAATAGAGCTTCCTTCACCTCGTCAAGGGACATTCTTTTCTATAGAATAAAAAATAATTTAATAATAAAAAATAATAATAAAAATAATTTAATAATAAAAATGCGAAACACTAGGATGTCTAAATAAATATATAAGTGTTTAACATTACATACGATTTTTGGACGTTTAAAGAAAATTAGATCGATGGATCTTTATTTGTTTCATGCAAACTACAACATTAAACTACTTGCATTAAAAAATTGGAAAAAAAATTTAATAAAAATTTACCTTGAATTTTTTGACATCACGTACTTTTTTGTAATATTATAGTGGTCTTCAAGACAAATTCAACGAATACATTTTATTGATGTTTAATATAATATAAATTTGTAACATTATTTTAATTAGTAATATTTATTAGCTGTATATAATGATAATGTTCAAGATCTTCGAGAAAGAATAATTATAACTTGTGAAATTTTCGATCGAAATGATATAAAAGCTGTTATCCAATATAATATCAGATTTATTCGAGAAACATCCTGAGAACGTCCTTAGGAATATATAAATGTCCTTCGAATATCCTTCGAAGAACATATAAATGTCATCTGGATATTTTTAGGACATCCCTTGGAGATCTGTATTGCATAAGCACACGTAGTAATTTTGAAAAAGAGTAGAACTTTGTTTCAAAACGAACGAGCAGTTTAAACATTTTCTTAGATAAAAGAGTTCTTTTCTTACTGATGAATATTTATGATTATGTTTATGTGTGTCAATAAAATCAATAAGATTGACATTCCCTATATTGTTAAGTTTGTTTTAAAAACCTGTACAATATTATAAAAAACAATTGCATTGCGCCATTAAAAAAATTCAAAGCAATTAATTTTTTATTTAAAAAATATTTTTAATTTTTTTATTGTAGCTTGCATGAAACAAATACCCATCTTTGAAATCTTTACATTAAATTATCGGAAGTGTCCAAAAATCGTGTGGACAGTTATGCTAAACATTTTGTATAAATTATAAAATGCATCAATATGAAACTTATTTTTATATAAAATGATTTAAATATATTTTTCATAAATTATGTGATTTTTTGAGTATCTAATTACCGTTTCTAATTACTAACACATGATAAAGTTTGCAAAATTATTTAAAAAAGTTTTTATGAATTGTTTTGAACATATAT